TGGGGTGGCTGAGGCCGAAGCGGCTGTGGGGCTTGTGCTTGTGTCTTTTGCTCTCGGTGGCCGTTCCTGGGTCGACTCTTTTCTATTATTTAACTGTAATTTATTGTTGATGCTTAAGCCCGGATTCAGGAAGAGTATTTGAGAATTGTTAGTGTCCATCCTGAGTGTTTCTGCTCGACTGCCGGTTTTATCACAAAACTCTAGAAACCAGAGTATGTGGAACTTGACGTTGTTTTATGCTGCACCAGAGCTGCACAGCTTTCTGTGCCTGCAGGTCACCAGCATATGGTGAAGGTTGCTTTGAAACTTGAGGTATGAAACAGCATCCAGGTAGTTGTTTGTTTTGTTGCTGGCTGTGCTGCCATTGCCACTGTTTAAATAACAACTGTCTTGTATTTGCAGACAAACGAATTGTCCATATTTAAAATAAGGAAGGCAAGAATATTGTAAATCTGTAATTAAAATGCTATACAAAAGCTACATAACTGTGTGAACAAGCATATCCCTTAAATGCAACTCTTCTCTTTTGTAGGAGAAAACTGACATAGAAGGGACCTTATTTGTTTACAAAAGGTAAGGGGGTTTATGATTTGTTTTTTTTTCTTTTAATTTCCTTAAGAAACAAACCTTAGGTGGCTTTGTGTGTAGTTTTCATACTGGATTTACTGCATCCAGTAAATTCATAATTATTGTCCAGCTCTTAAGTTGTGTGTACTCATTTGAAAAGAATAAATTCTGCATATTGGTGAATAACTGCCAAAAGCACCCAGAAGTACTGCTGAATGCTGCCTGTTTATCCACACAAACCCCCCAATTTATCAAGCTTATTTTGTTAATCAAATAGCATTTGTTAATGTATTGTGTTTGTTAAATGCTAAGTCTTCCTTTGTGGCCTACAAGTTATTATGAAAAAAATACAGTTGGCAAATTAAATAATCTGTTCTAACTTAATTTCTGCAGTTTCCTAACAGCTTTGACAAAGTTGCTTAAAAGGTTGACATCTTTCAAAGCCATGAAAGAATTTTCCAGTAACATGGGATGAGGGGAAGGGGTGGGAAGGAGAACCAGCATGTAAAACCCATCATGGATTTAAGTTTTACATTACAGGCATGTTAGAAATATAACAATGAAATAACGCTCTCTTGACTGTAAGAGATATAAATAATGCAGACTTAACCCATCCTGAAACAAACCATCATAGACTAGGTAATCACAGTATTTTATCCTGGCACTGTGAAGGGATACTAGTAACTGGTTCCTGTCCACTTTGCTCTAGGTCAAAGCTTGTATATACTTAGTGTAAGAAAGCCAGCCAAACTGAAAAAAACTAAGCAAAAAGTTTCCTTGTGACTAGATTAATTTTTCAAACAAGTTCTCTTAGGCACAATAAAAGACTTAACTCATGAAATTAGTTGGCATGCCAATAAATGACATAGAAGAACAACTGTTAGAGTTTCAGGACTGCTAAAGCTTCAGGTAATAAAGCAACGGAGATTTGAAGATTAATTCATAGCAGTTGCAGAAAGTTGTATATGTTGGTCAAGGTGTTAATCCTTGTCTTTGTTTTAATTGAAACAATAGGTCAGCTTCTCCTTATCATGGTTTTACGATAGTGAATCGACTGAACATGCACAACCTGGTTGAACCGGTAAATAAAGATTTGGAGTTTCAGCTCCATGAACCTTTTCTTCTCTACAGAAATGCTAGCTGTGAGTATAACTTCCTTTAATCTATGTAAGCTGCATGGTCTGTTTTATATCTTAGACCAATTCTGATTACTGTTATGTCTGTTTCAAGTGTAACATAAAGGTTCCAATGAAAATGTCTGATGATGTTTTCTGTCTGCAGTGCCAGATTTACGTAGATAGCTGGGTTATTATATTATGATGATCACCTGCTATCAATAGGAAGAGCATATCCTAAGTTCAGTATTGGTATATTTTTATTAATTATTTAATAGGTTTAATCTAAAGAGCATTAACAAAAGCTATGGAAGAGTAGCAAATATTGACTTTGAAGGTATTTAACACCAGGAACAAATCTAAGAATGTCCTCTTTTGCAAGTGAAAAATTAAATATTAATCTGTAGCTGCTTAAAGAAGCTGGGAAATTACTCAGCTCTAGGCTGAAGGTTTCTTTTTCCACAATAGGTTTTGAACTCAGGCGATAGATGTCTGTAGCAAATTTCCTGGAGTCTAGAATCTAGCAAATCTGGGTGCTGATATAGTGGTTATACAGATTAAGTAGTCAGTATCCTGCTTCTTGAGAATTCTAAAAGACTAGGGAAGTAAATTACTAGAAAAAAACAGAGAGGGGAAAAAATACTGTTGGGTGTTTAAGCAAGTTGCTTGGTTTGTAAGGAAAAGGAGCTGTAGGCAGTCATGGTAGGGGTATGGTGGCTGATGAGGTTACAGATTTGCAGTTATGAGATTGGTGACATACAGGAAGCAGGAAGTTGATTCATTTGTTTGCTGGGCTTGCTGATGTGGAATGGTGTGTGCAAGTGGGAGTGATTATTGGCTCACTTAAAGGAAGCAATCAGAGAAGGTGGGCTGTGTGTGAGTTCATTAGAAAACCATAAAGCTAATTAAATGCCTTTCTCTCGTTGATAAAAGCTCTGCTTTTCCTGTGGGACACTTGCACAAGATCTGTGTGAGGTTCATAGGTGTTAGGATAGAGATGACATAGAAAAATACAAGGAAGGAAGAAATTCATACAAAAGTGAGCAAGGAAAATATTATAGACTGCGTATGGAAAATAATTGTATTCTGAAGTAAAGCAGACTATATTCTTTTTTCCTCTTAGATCTTTTCTATTATAATTTTTAAAAACTTGGATCAGAAATTATCCTCTATTTCATCACTCTGCTTCTAGGAAGAAGAGGGTGGTAGCATGACCAGAAACAGTCCACACTGATTGCAACTGTCATTTCCCAGAGTGTCACACATAAGCAGCAGATCGGTTTTTGTGTGCTCTGCTGGACTTTGCTTTTTTTTTTTTTCAAGAAGAAGCTTAAAAGCATAGAAAGCAGCATCTAGGCTTTTTATTCCTTATGATTTCAGCACTGCTAACTCCCTTACATGTTGTATTTCATGGTTGTTTTTATTTTTTTTCCTTACATGCAGTTTCCCACATTTTCTGACCCCTGTCCCCTGTGTGAGTTTGGAAAAAAATCCCCAATGCTTGAAGTGTTCACTGTTAGAGCTGTTTGCCTGTATCTGCGTAGTATTTATGAAACTTAATCCTTAGTGTTGTGGTGGCATTGTTTTTTGAGTTTTTTTATTTGCAGACAAACTTCAACATATACATATTTTTTGTATGGATAGACTAGGAGATTCTTTTCCAAATTGTTTTCATGTAGAAGAGTGTCCAGTTCTGCTCAGCTGCCCGCTAGCATTAAAAACCTTTGCATTTTTGGGACTAATTCTAATATGAATTTTAAGTCAGTGGTTAATGTTGTGTACCTCTAGAAGCTTCATGTGAAGTTCTTCTGAGATCCTTTAATTACTCGAAGAGGGTGGGCTGTTAGGTTATGCAAGGAAAAACTCTTATATTCAGAGTGTTGGCAACACCCCTGTTCTTGAAGGATGTTTTTATGTATCTTGCTTGAGGAAATCTACTGCAATGATTAGCAACCCTAAAGAGGCTGGAGGGTATATGAATGATTTGCATATAACACTGTCCCAGCTTCAGAATTTTTCTTCTCAAAATCATTCTGCCTACATAATAGGGTTCAAGCCATAGAAGAATATTTGAACCCAAAAGTTTGAGAGTCTGTCTGCTTTAAAAGTTGTATGTAATGCTGCCCAAAAACTTAAAGCGTTTATTTATGAGACATCAGATCGTAAAGTAAAAATGACAGGGGTGTGACTAAGAAGCTGTGAGACATTACACCAGTTACAGTGATAAATATACAAATGTATTCTACTTTTAATTGTTAGAATTAAAGAAAGGAGGTATCTCCAAATGCAAAAAAATCAAGAAATGGCTAAAAAAATTGTTTAATGTAATTTTGAATTCCTCTTAAAAGGTAAAATTTTTTTAGATTATACTTCATACTTACTGTGCTGTTTATTATTGCTTAGTCTGAATGTGTTACCAGGTACATTTCATCGTTGTCTTTACTTTCTCTCTGGATGAGTGCTCATTCTTTAGAGTTTTCAGAATATTTGTTCATGAAGCACTGAATCCCATTGACTTTTTTTATGAACCTAAGCTTGTATTTTGTGAAAAGTATGTTAAAGTCAGTCTTAAAGAAACACATACAGTTCTTCCTGTAACAGTCCAATCTGAAAGTTCAGTGCTTTGTTTCCATCTGTAGAGTAAGAATTTGGAGCTGATAGTTGATAACTTGCTTAATGAAAGAGGAAAATTATTCAGTTTTAAGCAATAGCCAACTTACCTCTTAAAGTCTGCAAGACGTATTCTTCTAAGTCTTTCTCATTTATAACTTTCCCTTTGTATCCATGGTGTTGGTCTTGATTAAAAGGCTTTTTAATCCAAGCTAGCTCACTTGGGAGGTCAGAGAGATTGATTTCCATGGTGCTGCAAAAAGAGATGCTTAGCATCAAACTCAAGTATTAAAATAAATTATCTTTGGTGTGGGGTTGTTAGCTTTTTTTCAGTTTTCTTGTTTGCTTCTTATTCCTGTCCAAGGGTAATTTGCACCTCTGAGTTTAAAACTCAGTTACAAAGTGCTGTCTTCTGGACTTGTTATATTATCATTAATTAAAGTCATCCAGAACAGCAAAAGCAAAATAAGTTGCATTTCTTTCAAATGCCTTTTAAAGTTCTTTGTAAGAGCTCCTTACTGGTTTCAAAACAGGACGTTTTTACTGGTAGGGAAGGTCTCACACTATCACCTTTGTTCCTGACTGTCAGTTCATTAAGTGTAACATATCTCTGTGATTGCCAAAGCAGAATGGCTCTCCAGCAAGCACATTAACCCAGTGGTTTAGTCTGAGATAAGAAAGGAGCCTGTTCTTGATACCTTTATAGCAGAAGCAACAATGCAAACTAGGGGGAAGAACTATTGAAAGCTGTTAAGTTCTAAAAATATTTTGTTTGACCTAAAAGATGGCACTCTAACTGGAAGGGTTACTCTAACTGTGGTTCAGAGTTGCAAAGCAGTAATCCCTCTCATTCTGCACTATACTGTCAGATGGCAGTTTGTTAAAATTGTTCCTGATCCTGGATGCTGTTTGCCACCTGCTACTTTACCCCAGTGCAACTGCATGGGGGATTGTGCTGTGAACTGTATTTGTGAAATGGCCTTAGATATTCAAAATAATAAGGAAAGAAAAAAAAAGTTAATTCTAATGATTTATAAATCCATGTGTCAAGCTAATGCTTAAATTGAGGAAAATATAAGAAGTGGAAGAATCTCAATGAAGGAGATATTAGAGTGAGGAGAGGTGGCATTTCAGCTAAACTTGCTACTGGAAGAAATGTGAACTTTGAGAGATCTGTTTGAAGTGTAGAATGATGCATATACCATATGCAAATGATGCATATATGTGCTTTTCTTTGAGAATGAGAACAGGTTGGTTTCCATTATTACCTTGTATTATATGTTTCAAAGTATGAGTTTTACTGAGAGAGTTTGAAAGGTTTTTGTCTCCCACTTCAGTTGTTCTGCTTCATTGTATAGAAACATGTAAATTGAAACTGTAAAATAAAACTCTCTTCTACAGTGATGGTGTCTGGAATCTCTGAAACTGGCATGGTATTAAGGAACTTGTCTGGACTAAAATGTACTTAGCTCACATAAAGGGAGAGAAGGGAATTGGGGTAGAACATTAATGGCAAAGTTGTGGGAAAGTAAGGATGGTGACACTGCTTCTTTTTGCTTACTTCCAATGAAAAACAAGGTGAAACTACAGCTTTGGGGTGCAGCTTCAGTTTATGTTGCCACAGAGAGGTTTCTGTCTCTTTGTGGCACTTTGGTATTCCCACTCTTAATTCAAATTTACTAACTGGGTGGCATGGGAACAGTAAGATGATGGCCCCATGAAGCCACGAGAGCACAGCATAGAAGAGACTGAGACCTTCCGTTTGATGTATCTGACTGTTAGTCTTGGGCAGGAAGATTTCCATAATGCTTTTATTTTCTCAAAATTTCTTTGTTTTCCTATAGTAATTTCAGTCAAGTTCTAGTGATTGATCCTGTGATTCTGATTGATTCTGTGATCTAGTCAAGTACGGAAAAAAGTTGTGTTATGTGTTTAGATAAATATTTGTGGATTAGTGTTTCTTTTCTAGTAAAAATGACATGTCAGAGAAGAATGTAGATTAAGATAATGGATGAGTTATTTTAATTTTATGGAATCTGATTTGTCTGAGATATTAGTTACTCATGACTTTGTGTGTGTCAAAATGTAGTGTGAATCCAACTGAAAGATGCTGCTGATGATTATTACAGACTGTTTCTACTTGTTTACTAAAGATGGTGTCCAGCATTCTGTGTCAAAAAGCAGGGTGGAAAGTGTTGAACTAAAAGGAAAAATGCGTCACTTAATTTAGTAGCTGCTGTTGGATCAAACTCTTAAAAGGACATAGTAGAAAGATATGCCATTGGAGACATGAACATTCAGGTAATGTTTATGCTGGGTGTAGTAAAAGGGTCCCTTTAAGGTCCCTTCCAACCTAAACTACTCTATGATTTGAAAAGAACTGGTAATTGCCCTCTCTGGTTTTAGTAAAAGGATGCTCATAGCTAAATTTGCAGGCATGCAAGAAATATATCAAATACAGTTGATATATATGGCATGCAAGAAATATATCAAATATATGAAATGCATTGAGACGCACACACAAACTGCTAGGGCAAGGGAGCAGAACTGATAGTATAAATTAGTCCTCTTTTGAAAAGAGGAAGGTTAACATTCCAGCCTGTTGGACCATATCTAAGTTAATGCCCAAGTTTACTTGTTCATAATCTGCTTTACATCTTTGTAATACTGTTAATGTTTTGCGTTATTGATTGCTTGCCAGTAGTACAAAGTGGAAAAAAGCCTTATACTCTGGACACTAAACTTGAGATTTGAATCTACTTCTGGTCTTCTGTAGGCCTGTTTCTGGCAGAATTAAGTGTGACTTTTATCATGTGTCCCATTAAGATATCATTATAGGTTCCTTATCTTCATTTCTTCAGCAAGTATGCTTTTGAAGAAGCTTTCTTCTCTTGGCAGTTTGTCTGATAATGGAGTCAAGGAAGGGAA